AACTCTATTTTAACTAGTTTGTGTCACCAAAGATCGGGTAAGGGATCAAATTACCTCAAAGAGAAGGTGTTAGGCCCTCTTCGAGGTCCACAACTATGGGTCCCAGCCGAAATTTAAACTATGTGGATTACGTGATTAGGCTAGGTGATCAAATAAACAAAGGGATGTATAGAAGTCGAAGAGTCTTATCATAACACATTGGGAGTTTGTACAAATCCTAAATAATTACAAATGCATTGGTCTATGTTAAATGACTAAATGTAAATGCCAAGTATATGAAGGAGGGGGGGGGGGTCCTAAGTTTTTTAGCCTAAAGGATCACCCCATGCAACATAAATAATACTTCGCAACTCCCTTAGGTAGGGGTTGCTCATATTATTCAGCGGGCACAGACTATCATCTTCTGCTACCCGATTACTATGTTGAAGTTGTTTACTTAAAAGTGTTCTAGTTCAGTTCTAAGTTGTACCCTACGCGTGCGCTACCCGTCCCATGCCTATGGTCCAGGAGGCTTTGGACTCACTATTTGGGTGGTTCTATACTTTACTTAGGTTGCTCAAAAATGATAAAACTAAGAGACAATCAAAACAGATAGGACTTCACGTAAAGACAGTTAAAGGCCCAAGTTAGCCTCCACACATAATAACAAATGCACGCGGGTTGATTTCTAATTATGCAGTAGACGATTTTAAAATTAAAACATATTTTGGGGTGCTAAATCCTATAGACATGGTTCCTATGTGAGTTTGATTAATATTATCTAGACAGTACTGCGACGTATAGGCCAGTTAAAGAATCGCAAGTCCTATAGGCATGATTTCTAATTATTTACGCGATGAGGCAGTGAAGCGATATGAATTACCAGATTACTAGTGCTGATTTTATAAACATGCTTCTTAGGCAGACGTCAATGTCCTATAGGCATGGTATCTAGGTAAGTAAAAATATTGCATTGATGCGCCTTATAGATATGTAATCTAAGAGTGTTGAATAGTAGACGTGGGAACAAGTATGGAAAATACTGGAACAAACATATTTTGACAAGTTAAGTGAAGTGTGTGCGTGACTCCTATAGGCATGATGTCTATCAGTGTGCAGAAATAAAGCATGCTAAACAAAACAACAAATAGAGCACATAGACCCTATAGACGTGTTCTCTACCCTTTTATGAAAGAATAAAGCATACCCATTTTCCCTTTTTACTAATTCCCTAATTGTTTAGTTTACAAATTATTACAGAATCGGATAATGAATACACCTACAAACATTACATAAAGAATAACTACAGGCCTAGAAATAGACCCAAACAAAACAACCCAACACTAGCTGGGCCTTCAACAATCTTCACTCTTCACATGACCAGTAGGCCCAAGCCCCAGGCTTAGCAGAAAATAGAAGATGCCTGAATTCAGCACATAGATTCAACAACATATATGGCCCAATACTAGGCCCAAGATGCATGACTTACCTACTGATTCCAGACTTAACCATGCAAGTGACAATTTCTCAGGGAATTCATTAAACACATTTTCACAATTAATTATGAAAGGTGTAAGTAAGAAACAGTTCTAACCAAAACATATAAGCAGGATCACATGAAACTTTGAAAAATACAGAAGACATACATAAAATGGGCTCATGCTAGGTTTTAAAGTGACAGGATTGAACATCATAATCTAACAAACTACTTCAAATAGAATTTTAAAAATGAAGCATAGCCCAGAATTAGCCCAAAGGATTTCAGACAATTAACATGAGAATCTAGCAAATTCATATACAGGAACAAGTGAGAGGCAGTCTTCACATAAGGTTTTAACATGAGAGCCTGATGAGAGTATGGTCATCAACAACATAGCAACAAGCTAATGGACATAGTTAAGAATAGTTGGCAGCATATCACTTAGTTGGACATGAGACCTAACATAGTGGGCACTACAATAGCACAAAGACTCTAAAGAACTAATGGTAGGTAAAAGAACATGTCAATTATAGATCAACAGGACAAGCAAACATTAGGATTCATATCGGTCGATCCCACATGAGAGAAAACTACACATTGACATTTATCCTAGAAGTAATGCTAAGAGTAAAGGATTGACAGATCAAAGAACATAACTACTAGAGTTACGAATTGCAGATAAACAAGTTTGGTTATATAGTGAAATAGTGCTATAACATAGGATAATCAGGAATCAGTTTGCGAAAAATAATAGATTATTCTTAAAGGGTTCAAGAGGAAGAGAATAACAATGATTCTGGTCCCTTAAAGGGGATTAAGGGAGGGGTTTATATAGTGGTGGTATCAAGAGAGTAAACATGGAAAAAAATTAATCACACACAAAATAAAGAAAGAAAATCACATGCAGTCGATAATAGAACCAGTAAAGAAAAAATTAAAATTTCAAACCTTAGTTTGACGAAAATCAAAGATTGGCCAAGGAGTTTGGTAAATCGGACCCATACAACCCGGTGCTAAGTGTATATAGACAAAATACCTCCTAAGTATCGAAGATTGAGGACGGTTGTTCATAACCCAAGGCCTGGTATTTTCCAAAAATAGGCAAGCACTAGGTGATGCCAAAATCGTGCAAGTAACCCGATGACAGACCGCATAAGGTAAGAAAATCATGGATTGATTCCATTTTGGGGTAGGAATCGGAGAGAGTTAAGGGAGACGGCTATTAGGGTTTTAGAGAATAGGGGAAGGTTCGAGAGATTCAAGGGGCAGCGGAATGAGCGATTTGTCTCTTGGGTTTGGGGAGGGTTATAAGGAAAGGGCAAAGGTTGTTTTAGGCCGTTGATCATTTAAGATCAACGGCTACGATTAAAGAGGAAGTGGGGCGGGTCGTAAGATGGGTCGCGACCGAGTTAGGTGAAGAGGTGGTTTGGTTTGGGCTTCTGAAGGGTTAAATGGAATGGGCCAGGTGATTTGGACTTTAATTGGTTCGAAAATTAGTCCTATATTGGGCTATAATTTAAAATACATAAAATTCATTAAAATAAAATTATAAAAAGTAATTAACAAATAATAAAATATTATTTAAGTATTAAGATTCTTCAAAAACAATAACTTAACATTATAAAAATGCTATTTGGCACAAATAATGTAAAAAATGTAATTATGCATAGCATATAGGCTATTATTGCAAAATTGTGTGAATAGCCAATATAATTATATGAAAATATTATGAAGCATATATGTGGATGCAAATAATAGATTTGGATGGTTAAATCATCACAAAATAATTTAAGGGGTACTTAATACATATTCAGGTAATTTAAATGCAAGAAAATTTGATTTTAAAGCTCTACAAATTATGAAAAATTATAGAAAGTACTTGTATTACTCTTTGTAAATTAAGTAATGATGAAAATGATAGTTTGAAAGTATATATTCTATTTGAAAAATATGAGGGCAAAATTGGGTATCAACAGGTGCCCCTCTTTACCCGGGAATGATGAAAGAGTTGTCGGGTAAAGAAAATGATGACCAATTGTGTTCGAAGTGAGTGAGGAGTGATGTGTTTGGGAAAAATATGGGGGTTGAACCCGGGTTCTTGAGTTACCTACATATCCCTGGTGTTACGGGAATCAAGTCGTGTGTAGTTCTGGATCCAACAGCGAACGAAGACGATGGAGTCGTTACAAGAGTGGTTGTATGTTTTGAAAAGGTTCTTTTGGGTAGGATAGTGTCGTAGGTAACAGATAATTTTAGGTGGAGTCATGAATGCGTACTTGGTCATTACGGGCGTATCATAAGGCAGATATTTGAACGGTCATAGAGGAAAAAGGTAGTCGATTACTGGTAGTCGGTTACATTTGAGGTAGTCAAAGGATGTGAATGTTGTGAACGAAAACCGGAGCGAAGATTTCTCCTGTTTGCAGAACGGTTACCTCCCAAGTTACCTGCAACACTCAAAACACGACGCATGAATATATATGGGTTATTGCGAAAATTTAAACATGATGCAAATTCCCTTCGGACCATGAAGGTTGTCTTCAAACGATGAGGATGATGTCCTTAGACTATGACGTCCTTGGTCGTGAAGCGTGTGATAAGGGATTCGCAGGCCATGAAATGGTGTCCTCGGGACATGAGGATAGTGCCTTTGGACTATGACGCCTTTGAATAATGATGTTCAGTATCGTGAGATCTTTGGGCCATAGAATAGTGTCTCCAGGCAATGAGAAAGGTGCCTTCGGACTGTGACGCCTTCGGACAATGTGGCGATGTTTCAACCCATGAAATGCAATGATATGGCGATGTTGATCGTTTTATAGAGGAAATAGGTGATGCTTAGTCATATGCGAGGACGAGACAAGACAAGACAAGGTTTAGTCTTGTATGAGATGAGAGCAATGCTTAGCCCTATACTAAGAAGGGAGATAGTGCTTACAGTGTAGAGGAGACAGTGTTTAGTCTCATGCAAAGAGAGGCAATGTTTAGCCTCATGCAATAATGGACGCAATTCTTAGCCTCATGCTAGGAATGGAGACAGCGCTTAGTCTCAAAGGAAGGCAGTGTTTTAGCCTTATGCAAGGTGAGGGCAGTGCCTAGCCCTATGCAAGGAGTGGAGACAATGCTTAGTCTCATGTGAGGAGAGGCAATGTTTAGCCTTATGCAATGGTGAGGGCAGTATTTATCCTTATGCAAAGAGTGGAGACAATGCTTAGTCTCATGCAAGGAAAGGAGACAATGCTCTATCTCTGACAAGGATAGGCAACGCTTAGTCTTATGCAATAATGGGGGCGATGCTTAGACTCATACGAGCAAAAGAGACAATGTTTAGTCTCTGGAAAGGAAAGGCAATGCTTATCCTTATGGAATAATGAAGGCGATGCTTAGCCTCATACGAGAAAAGGAGACAATGCTTAGTCTCTAGCAAGGAAAGGAAGTGCTTAGCCTTACGCAATAATGGTAGTGAGCTTGATATTCCATTGACGAGAAGCCTGCTTGAGGCCATATAGAGACTTGAGCAAGCAGCAAACCAAGGGTTTACCTTGAGCACTACTAAATCCTTGCGGCAAGGTCATATAGACCTCTTCATGGAGATCGCCCTGCAGGAAGGCATTGTAAATATCCATTTGATGAATGTCCCATTGTTTGACAACAACAGTGAGAATGACTGCCCGAACAGTTACCATCTTCACCATAGGAGAGAAAGTTTCCTGATAGTCAAGACCTTCTTGCTGGTTGTAACCTTTGGGCACAAGTTGGGCTTTGAACCTTTCCATTTCACCGGTAGATTTATACTTGATCTTGTAGAACCATTTACAACGAATGGCTCTTTTCCATTCAGGCAAAGGGACAACTGCAAAAGTTTGGTTGTCTTCCAAAGCCTGTATTTCAGTGTTCATCGACTCGACCCACCTGTGATATTTAGCAGCCTGGGTAAAAGTCCTAGGTTAAACATCAACTGAAAACCTAGTAAGAAAACTGTGGTATTTGGATGACAAAGAGTGATAATCTATCACTGCTGAAAGAGGGTACAAATAAGTTTGTGCCTCTGTTGTGTGCTTAGTAGCAGGTGTGACAAAGTCTTTCATACATATAGGAGGCTTGGAAGACCTACCAGACCTCCTCAAAGTGGAAGATGGAAAAATAGGGGTTGGTGTTTAGGTGCTTCAACCTGTCGTTTCCTTCCTACTGAATCTTATGCGACGTAGAGAACTTGTTATCAATTGGGCAATGAGGAGTTATAGTGGTACTACAGATGTGGTGCAAGATATTTTTTTTCCCTGCGTACTCGAGCGATTTCTTATCGTCATCTTGTAGAAGGGTGTTCTATCATTTTAGCCTTGTATCAGTATTGCTTATGGTTTTAAGGCTATGCACAAATTGTTATGATGTTCGTGCATTGTTATCGTGTATTATTGTTGTGAATGATAGGTTTCCCATTTATGGGTCGCGACAATGAATGAATCGAAAGGAGGATTTCTTGGATCACAGTTTAGAGGTTCGACATTTAATTCAAGCGGAGGAAAGGTAATCGGACTATGGATGTTCAGGCTTTGGTTGATGGAGTAACGATACTAGATATTTTCGAGCGTGGTGGAATTCTCAATTCTGAGGTGGTGTCTTCGTCCCGGTTTAAATGCATTAAGGTTTGTCGGTGTTATAGGCCTCTTTGATTTGCCCTCAGGGCAGGGTGTTGTGAAATGGTGCCTGAGAAGTGGTTGTCAGAGATAGCAGTATGTAGCGGGTTCAGAAATGATTTGGTGTTTCTAATGTTGATGTCTAGAGAAAGATGGTCTTCGAGGAGGCTTAGAGTTGGTAGCAATTTACTTGTTGATGTGCTACAGAGATGGGTTTTAATTCGAGGCAACATTTGGGCAGCGAAGAATGAGGAAGGACATGGTGGGATGTGTCTTGCGGTGGTTGAATTGCTAGCAGGTCAAGTATGAAAAGCAGATGTCGATAAGTTTCTTAAAGAAGATGGTTTAACTGAAGTGGGAGTGACAGAGTAGCATATGGGTTCTGTGGTAGGCTAGCCACATGCCTTGAGAAAAGTTTAGAGTGATTTGGGAATCATGGTGGAAAGTGACTAGGTCTACGGATTTTATTGGGATGGAGGCTACTGTACTGAGGAAGATTGAACATGGTAAAGAGAAATTTGCTTGAAATGAAGAGGGTTATGAAAACAAAACTTGATTATCGATTTTGGATGCAATGTGACTTTGAGTTTGGAATGTATTGTCGGACTTTTAGTTGATGTTAATGGGGAATGAACAGACTTGCACAGCCGGTGGACGAACATGGGCTCAGGAGGGTTTACCGATTTTGTAGTAGTGGTACCTAGTGCAACGTCATTGGAAGATGCCGATATAGAATTTCACAGGTGGGTTATCTCCTGTAAGTAGGTTAGCAGTTGCATGATTTTGATGAAGTTTCTACGAAGAGTTCTACTTACTACCTGGTAAGAGATCGAATATGTGATTGTGGCTGATGATTCAGGATGTTCATGAAAAGTTTAACAAGTGATTATGAGAAATTTGGCGAGTTAATGGTGTGAGATCATTGTAATTGAGAAGGAGGAATCTTGTGGGTTCTAGATTTATGTGATTGTAGCTTAAATCTAAGTGGGGGAGCCCACCGTCTACGATTGGATCGCGTGGTTGTGTGCCTATGCATTTTATGGTTATTGGTGCCCTGATGGATTATTATGACTAAGAAAAGAAAACATCATGGTTAATTTGAGCAAATAGCTTGATGAATGTGTGCTATATCTCGCCTTATCAATTCATGTACATGGAAAGGAACTCATCCGGTTGCTTCTTTGAGAAAGTATTCGTGTGCTAACATAGCGTTGGAGTTGTTTATATTAGGGACTAGGTCAGAGTGGGTGACTCTCAATAATGGTTCTAATAGGTTCAAGAATGTAAGCGTGGTGTCTAAGGATTTTTGGTTCATTGTGTGGATGAAGACTGGGATTTTGCAATAGGGTGTGAAGAATACTTGAAGTATTCTATGCTATCATCAGTATGCGGTGCACTGTTAGAGAAGTGGGAGAAACAACTTCATATTCACAGAAGATCTAATCAGCGTGGTGTATCAGTTAGAGATACTATTGAGTGCCTTAAAAGGGCATAAAATGGCGTACGGATGTTGGGACGACGTGATCTCGTGATTTGGGGATCGGGATGAGTGTTGTTTGAGGTCTGTTATGTATTTGAAGGAGGGTATTATTATTTCTAAGGCAAGTCAAGAGTAAGTTGGAGGAAGTTAGGCAGTCAGTGATGGATTGAATCAGCATGGTTGTGGAAATGATCGATTTCTTCGATATGTTGAGATATGCAGGTGATTCGTGGCTGTATGTGCAGGCTTGAAAACCACCGTAATTTTATTGATTTGGATGTATTTGATTATGATGGCATGTTGTGTGTAAAGGAATCCCGGAAGGATTATGGTGGTGTAGACCGCAACTTGAGGTTGGTATTTTCTGCGGTTATGAGAATTCGATTACGTGTCGCTATTGTTCCTCTAAAATGTGTTGAATAAGAGGGTTCTAGATGATGAAGTGTTTATTCTATTGGTGGTTTAGGAGTTATGATGAAATTCTTGTACTCTCGCGTAGCGGCATGATAAGTGCAGTGAGCGGTATGGAAAGTGAAAGTTGAGGATCAAGGTTGCGGTTCGGTGTTGATAAAAATATCACAAGATCGGAGGAGCGGGGGAGGATTTCAAATGTTCAGGGTATGCTGGCACTATTTTCGAGCAGCCGGAGGATGGTCTATTTTGTGGTAGGAGTGTTGGGTATTAAATGCAGATGCTTGGCCAGTATCATAGAAATAGCATGGTCGATGGTCATTAATGTTAAGATTTTACTACCCAGTGCAAAATATTGTGGGGCTATATCCCACGGGAAGATCGCATAAGTGTGACGTGTTAGTCATTTGATGATTAGAGATTTAAAAACAGGTATGGAGATTTTGATACCGTCGCAAATGAGAGAGATTATGACTAAGAGGCGCTCTATTTCTTTGGTTGCCGACCGTGGTAGTGTGTTCTGGATTTGACGGTTACCCTTGTGTGTCATGAATAGAGTTATTGTGGATCCTCGGAAGGTTATTAGCCGAGTATGGGATAAGAGGAATCATCTTGGGGTCTGTTGGTGGGTCTAATGTGAATGTGTACTCTACATTAGGCCGGGTGTGTTCATTCGGCATCGCATTTCTTACGGAGGAGTCTTCGGGCGATGGATGTTATTCCCATCGTCAGCTGTTCTATGTAATACTCTATTGTGCCATGTGGGTTGTGAGACGGCTTGATTATTCGCTTATGTGTTGTGATCCCGTGTAGTTTGTGGTGCTATATGAGCGAGATGGTTCTCGAGATGCAGGTCATTTATTGCACCTTAGTCGTGCTTGGGTTTTGTAGCGTATCACGCTATCCGTCTCCCCAGGGATTGTATTATGCACTTGGCGTGCTTGTGGCCAATATTCGGGCATTTCGTGGGTATGAGCATTCTGGCTCGGTAGGTGTTCCGTATAGATTGTTATGTGTGGATTGGGTGGCACGCCACCACGGGTATGTTATTTGGATCGGGTTGCACGCCGCAACGGTATCATGTGTGGATCGGGTTGCACGCTGCAACAGTGAGATACTGAGTATATTTCCCTGTATTTATTCTTGTGTATTTCGTTCCTCATTCTCTGAGAAAGGTTCATAGCATCCGTTCGACCGTTTTATTCGTTACGCGTGCTGGGTAGTTCTTTTCCAGAGTTCGTTCTTCCTTATGTGTCATATTCAAGTTGTAGCTTGTTGGCGCATTGATAGCATCCTATGAAACCCTGGGCAGTGTTTGAGATGGCTTATTGCCTGAGCAACTTGTACTAGGTGAGACAAGGTTATTGGGGCTGGGATCAGTGCGATCGGAGTTATGTAGGGTATATTAAAGAGCAAATATCATTATTCAGTTCAGAATGAGGTAATGGTTCTTGTCAGGAATAGAAACTACATGATTTGTTGATTCGGCAGATGGTTATTAGTTTCTACACATCGCTTCCATCGTGGCAGTATTGCGAGAGTTGGATCAAGGCTTATATGTGTTATGAGGTGTATTACGGGCACCGATGCGTGGAATTACAGCTATTATGGTCGGAGGATGTTATTATGGTCAAGCGACTTATGTGGTGCATGGTGTGATTTCAGCGGAGGAGCATGGTCATGCTGGGTATAGTGTCAAGTGATTGATGCGGTGTTCGTATGTTAGAATATGGTCTCGTGGAAAATTCTGGATATTGGAATTTGGTTCTAAAGCTTGTTAGTTAAGGTTATAGGGAGGATCTTCAATCTGGCTCGAGCTAATGTGCTCGATTGGGTTGTGGTGGCATGGGTAGGTGCACGAGGTGTTAAACAATGACTTTGGACAACTCCAGAGCAATCCTTAGCATGTTCGAGGACGAACGTATGCTTAAGTGGGGGAGAATGTAATAACCCGACCGATCATTTTGAGTTCTAGAGCGTCATTTGGTGGTTTGAGGCCTTGAGTAGCTTCACTTCATGTATTACGACTTGTACGTGTGGTCGAAATTAGAATTTGGGAAGTTCGGAGTTGATTTGGAAGGAAAATTCTAATTTCAGAACTTTAAATTGGAAGAATGAACCAAGGTCTGACTTTTGAGTAAACGACCTCGAAATCAGAATTTTAAGGTTCTAACAGGTTCGTATGATGATTTTGGGCTTAGGCGTATGTTCGGATCGGGTTTTGGATGACTCGGGAGCGTTTCAGCGCTTAATATCGGAAGTTGGTGCATTGGAGGTTTCCAAGTCCTTTAAATTTGGTTTGAAGTAGGTTTTGGTGTTATCGAGGTCCGTTTGGGAATTTTGAGCCTGGGAATAGTTTTGTATGGTAATT